ACTCTTTACATCCATTTGGTATAATTTAAAACCTTTAGAAGCAGTAAAAGCACACAATAGCCTTATAGCTTCTAATCTTGCTACTGGAGCAAAAGTTTCCTCAAAGTCTATCCCTTCTTCCTGATTATAACCTTGTGCCACTAGTCTTGACTTATTCCTAACAATTTTCCCTATTTCATCTGACTTATTTCTGTAGATCCATTTTGTTCCAATGATGACTCTATTCTCTAGTTTAGGTACTAATTCCCATACATTGTTTCTTTTGAATTGGTTCATTTCTTCATGCATTGAGGCATTCCAGTATTCATCTTCTAAGGCTTCCTTAACATTTTTAGGTTCAATGAGTGATACGAATGCAGTATGAACATCAGAAGATTTGGATCAAGTAGTAATACCTTGTTCTATGTTGCCAATGATCTGAGAAGGAGGGTGACGCTTCCTTATGTGAGGTGGAGCTTGTCGCTCTTCTTCTATCACTTCCTTGTTTAGCTCTTCCTCTGTGTTGTGATCATTAGCTACAGTCTCCTTATGATTTTCTTCTGAGAGTGTTCTTCCAAGTCCAAAGTCCTCTGTCTCATCTAAACTCTCTGCACACTCACTTGAAGACTCATCAAACATAACATTTATGGACTCCTCAACCTTGAGGGTCCTTTTGTTAAAGATCCTATAGGCTCTGCTATGTGAGGAGTAGCCTAAGAATATTGCCTCATCGGATTTTGCATCAAATTTACCAAGATTATCCTTGGTATTCAACACAAAACACTTGCATTCAAATGGATGGAAGTATTCCAGGTTAGGTTTTCTATCTTTCCATAGTTCATAATGAGTTTTATTCAGTTTGGAACGGATTAATGCTCGGTTAGTTACATAACATGCAGTATTAATAGCCTCTGCCCAAAAGTGTTTGGCTAATCCATAATCATTCAACATCGTCCTGGCTATATCTATTAGAGTTCTGTTCTTTCTTTCAGCCACTCCATTTTGCTGAGGGGTTCTAGGTGCTGAGAAGTTATGAGAAATACCACTTTCATCACAGAAGCAATTGAATTTATCAGAAATAAATTCTCCTCCGTGATCACTCCTTATGTTGACAATTTTAACTCCTTTTTCATTTTCAATTTTCCTAGACAGAATCTTAAAGTTTTCAAATGTTTCATCTTTTGAAGCAAGAAACTAAACCCAAGTAAACCTAGAATAGTCATCTACCACAACAAAGGCATACTGTTTTCCACCAAGACTTTTTATGTTGGTGGGACCAAACAAATCCATGTGCAACAGTTCTAGTGGTCTCTTAGTTGAAATCATAGGCTTGCTTTTGAAGGAAGATCTGGTGTGTTTGCCTTTTGCACAGGCAGAACAGAAGAATTCCTTTTTACTGTGAATTTTAGGAATACCTTTAGCTAGTTCTAAGTTTGCTAATCTTGATAAGATTCCTACACTTACATGCCCTAGTCTTCTATGCCAATCCATTTGCTCGTTTTTATCCACTGTCACTAAGCAAGTTTCATTGAACAAGGATTTATCATTCAAGTCAATGACAAACAGTTTGCCTTTTCTTTTTCCTGTGAACAGAATTTGTTTACTTGTAATGTTTTCGACATAGCATGCATTTGGTTCAAACACTACACGATTCTCAGTTCCACACATTGGACTTATGGACAACAGATTGTGTTTAAGACCTTCAACTAACATGACATTCTTAATTGATGGATTTGACCCTACTTGACCCTTTCCTAAAATGTTTGTGCTGTAATTATCACCAAAATAGACTCTGCCTTTCTTTCCTAGGGTAAGTTTTGAAAATAATTCTTGTATACCTGTCATATGATGTGAGCAGCCACTGTCCAGGATCCATTCACTGTCATCCATGCTCACTTGGAGACAGACCTGCATAATCATGGTTTTATTTGATCTTTGGTATCCAAACCTGTTTGGATATCTTTAGTTTTGTGTTACAGTATTTCTTTAAATGTCCTGAATGTCCACAGTTATGACATTTTTTGTTCTCCTTTGCAATTCTTCTTCGGCAATTAGCAATATAATGACCATTCTGATGACAATAAAAGCATTCAGTATTTGTTGACTTTCTTATCTTAGGGCCCTGATTAATGATCGAGTTGCTAATAGTCTGATTAGTAAGACTAGAAGGACCCTTTTTACAACACTTACAGTTTTTAGTGTCTGGTACATCTTTTAGAGCTAGAAGTTCAGCTTTCAGTGCCTCATTTTTTTTCAATCAGACATTTCTTAAGTTGACATTCAACATTTAGTTTTTCTCCTTTTAGTCTATCACATTCATTATTTATGTGTAGAAATTCATTTTTCAGTTTGGCATGTTTAATTCTAACATTTTCAAATTCTTCTTGAATGTTTTTAATTGTATCAATCATCTCTTCAGATTCGCTATAGTTATCAGAGTAGTAGTCAAGATGACTTACCTGAGGTGATTTGGAGTCATCATCACTCATTTCCAGAGCCATGTAAGCAGTTGCTTTTGTTTCATCGTCGTCTTCTTCTTCTTCGCTGCAGCTCCAGGTTGCAGTGTACGCTTTCTCCCTTTTCAACATTGGGCATTCAGCCTTTATGTGGCCTATCCTTCCACACTTCAAGCATCCAGCCTGAGACGATTGCTTATCTGATGCAGCTCCTTCTCTTCTTGGCTTTGGCAGTGATCGATTTGGTTTGATTTGTTCATCTCCTTCTCTGAATCGATTCAACAGTCCTCCTCTTCTCTTTTCTTTCCTCAACCTCAGTAACTTAGCTACGTGCTTACTCAGCATAGCTAACTCCTCGTCCTCCATCTCATCAAGACTGTCGAAGCCATCTTCCTGAGCTGTTGTTTTGAATGCAATGCTCCTTCGTTCTTTCCTTGGCTCCTCTGCTTCTTCTTTCTTCAGCTTTTCCTCATAAGTTATTAGGGATCCCATGAGCTCATCAAGACTTAGTTTAGTGAGGTCCTTTGATTCCTCAATGGCAGTAACTTTTGGCGTCCATTTCTTTGGTAGCGCCCATAAAACTTTTCTAACCAAGTCGCAGCTTTCGTACATGATTCCCAAGTTCATCAGACTGTTGACAATCGTTGTAAATCTTTCATTCATCTCTCTGACTGACTCTTCAGGCTTCATGACAAATGACTCGAATTCTTGCTTCAAACTGTTTATTCTTGAAATCTTCACATGGGTCGTACCTTCATGAGCTATCTGGAGTTTGTCCCAGATTTCTTTGGCAGATTTGCATCCAATGACTCGATGATACTCCTCTGGTCCCAATGCGCAGTATAGCAAATTAGTGGCCTTGGAATTCATTTGATAGTTCCTTTTGTCTGTGTCTGACCAGTTTCCTCGAACTCCCTTGACCTCCAGTGGACCATCGAGGATGATGTCCCAAAGATCTGGGTCGGTGGAGCCGATGAAGAGTTCCATTCGATTGCGCCAGTACCCATAGTGCACTCCTTCGAATCTCGGGGGTCTTGTTTGTGAAAATCCATCCGCCATAAAGATCGCTCCGCTGTTTGCGCTTGAGCTCATTTTCTCCGAAGGTGATTAAGCCTCTTTCGTCGGAGCCGGGCTCTGATACCACGTGTAGAATGAGTCGAGCGCGAGACTTTTCCAGCGATTTGCTCTTCTTTCGATTTACTTTGTTCCTGAAACCCTAATTTCGACTTTGACAAGATCAAGTGAGAAGAATGGGAAGCAAAGGCAGAAATCGATTCTCAATGCTATTGAACTTTCCTTTCTGAGATTACCTACACGACACCGTCTTGTGATGGATTGTTACACAGCTTTGGGCCTGACTCACTTTTGCTTTGTCAATGAAGTTGGCCCGATGTGTAATGGTTAGAACGCTGCGTTTCAAGTATCAGCTGAACCTTCTTCTTCTTCTCGTTTAAGTTCACCTGCCCTGTTCTGCAAATCACTTAACCAAGAACTCCACCACGTACTGTAAACTGATTAGAGTGCAGACTTAAACTTATCAAAGAAAAGAAAATGACACCCACACCAATTTTTACGTGGTATCCGGTGTTAGGTGATTAATGAACCTAACACCGACTAATCCACGGTCGAAGGATCTCTATCTCGAGACCTTCGACGATTCACTATGTTTATTCGTTTATAGATTTACAAGTAACACTGAGTTTGATCTCAAAGTGACCTCCTGTCACTAGATCAGAGTCGCCCTGTAGAGTCTGCTCCCTGCACCTACTCTACCCTGACTTCTTAATTCTGATACCCGAGTTTTCACCCTGAAAACCCTGTTTCTTTTCTTTCTCACGCACAACTCTCTGTTTTTCTTTGCGGAGAAAATTGCAGAAAAGAACTCCCCTATTCTGCCCTGAAAACCTCTCTTTTATTTCACTCTTTAGTCCACCGTTACTGGTGAATCAATTCGTCATTCTTGATTTCCTTGATTGATTGCTGTATCTGCTCTTTCCTTTTCTTTCTTGATGAAATAGTTTCCCCACAGTCACTTGCCTTTCTTGATATCTCGATGCCAATGACTGAGCTTCCATCAACAACATAATTCAATCTGGTGCAAAAATTCACAAAATGAAAACAAACAGCCCCCGTTGATTGTCAAAATAAACAACAAAGAAGCCAAGGAAAAAAATTTCCCACGTAATTCACTTACCCAGGTGAAAAGGGTTAGGGATCAACTCTAAAACGCTAACGCTTCTTCCCGTTGTGGTTGTCGTTTCCCATGCCGGCCACCACTGACCACCAATCACATCTAATCGCCAATCAAACGAACGGCATGAACAGGGAAAGATGGAGTATTTCAATCACGTTGGGAAAGACCCAAACTCCATTTTCTATCTATGCTAGACTTCATAATAGAACAACTTTCAACAACTAGAGTTAATGAGACTAACAATAATCTATCTTACCACTTTTTAATATTTTTCTCGAAATATGAATACACAACCTATGATCTTAAATAATAATTTAAGTATTTAAGCAACCGTAAACCTATTTAAACTATGCATAGCTCCACCACTACTCTTATTCCCCGACGTGCCGACTACCCAAAAAGAATGGAGGTATACTCTGCTCATTCCTGAAAAAGTTTGCCGGATCAACGTCAGTTTTAACCCTAACCAGCCTCTCAAAATTACCCTTGTAATACCTCCTCCCCCAATCACTCCCCTGTTCACAGCTCCACGCCCTTCCTGCAGCAGCATCACCATTCATCCCAAGATCAAGATCCCTCGCATTGACGTAAGCTCCCCGTGGACCCTGCGACACGAATGGCGCCAAGTAACCCTCAAGCCTCCGAATCCAATCCAAGTGCCTCTCTTCCGTCTCAACTCCATTCCCATCCCAGTAAGCGTAGTACTGAATCATGTACACGTTGCCAGCTCTATGCGGGTAGGGGATGCTGAATTCCGGAACTTCACTCATCTTCCCTCCATGAGCTTCCAACTGCAGAACGCCTTCCTCCGGCCCAACCTCTGCCAGGATTCTCCAAATCCCGTCCACAGCATCTTCAGGGAGAGGCTCCTGCACAAAATCGGACTTCGATTTGACTTTCCTCGCCGGCTCTCCTGTCCTTCTGAGGAGAGTCTCAACCGATTCGGACCCAAGAAAATACAGCACCGAATCGATCCAGCTCATTTCACTGCAGTCTCCCTCTGAGAGACCAAGCTCTGGGAATTTTTCTTCAAACAGGGGAAGCAGAGTTTTGATTTCCCCTAGATATAAACCTTGAAACGACGCCATTTTACTGGATAGCGAGACTAGGAAACTGCTCACGTCCTCTGGCAGCTTGTCCGCCGCGTATTGCCACCGGTGGACGAGCTCGGTCGCGCTTTCTTCCACCGCTCTGGTTAAATTGAAGACGGTGACGGAAGGCGGGACGGGTAACAGATTGATTTTCCAAGCCGTGACTACTCCAAAAGTATTGCCTCCGCCGCCGCGAATCGCCCAGAACAAATCTTCCCCCATTGAAGCTCTGTCCAGGACTTTGCCCTCGGCGTCAATTAGTCTGGCGTCGATTACGTTATCAGCTGCAAGCCCGAACTTCCGCGATAACGCGCCTGATCCTCCTCCGCTGAAATGCCCGCCGACTCCAACCGTGGGCCAAAACCCTGCCGGGAAAGCCAGGACTCTGCTTTTCTGCGAGATTGCGTAGTAGAGCTCGCCTAATGTTGCCCCTGATTGAACCCACGCGGTCCTTGTTTCGGGGTTGACGTCGTGGACTGCGCGGAGCTTGGTCAAGTCGATCATCACGAAGTCATCATTGGAGGGGGAAACAGAGAGGTAGGAGAGGCCTTCGAAGTCGTGGCCGCCGCTGCGGATTCTAAGCCGCAGTTCGTGTTTGCGGCAGCAGAGGACGGCGGCTTGGACGTGGGAGTCGAACTGAGGGATGAAGATGGCCAGAGGTTTGTGGATTGTGCTAGTGTCGTTGAATCTGGGATTCATGATCGTGGATTGGAGAACAGATGTGTAGGAAGCGTCGCCGGGAGTGTAGATTAGCTTAGAAATTGAGGGGGCGGTGGAGGTTTTGGAGGAGTAGTGATCATGAACGCACTGGACGAAATCTTGATTGCCAGCAGCCCAAGTGGGCGCCCAGAGTTGCAGGAACAAGACAAGTAGAACTGACGGCATGATGATCCCGTGGAATTTTCTCGCTTGCCGGCGATGATCTATCGTGTATTGAAAATCGATTTAATGTTATTCCCACTATTTGAATTCTGAATGGCAGAATTGAGGTGTTTGATCAAACGAATATCTATCTCTTCTTTTTTATGGGAAAGAATGTTGAACGTGTTACCGACCATCATCGCTCATCTATCTGGTTGCTGGCACGGGTTATAACACCCATCAGTTCAGTTCATGTCATTAAACCAACGTTATCGGAAGTCGGATAAGTGGAAAAAGGGTTTGGTTTTTAAACTTACGGAATGGAAAGTCATCATTAAGATTTGATGGGTAGTAGCTGGGAGCCTGGGTGGCTATATTTTGCACCATAGAAACCATCAACAAGTGACCCAGCGTCCCAGCCTCCCTTCTTCCTTCCTTGTATAACTACTAGCAAAAGCCGGCTCGCTACCGCTTCGCGTGTGGTCAAGAACAAATATTTTAGAGAGCAATAGTTTTAATGTTGATCCAAAAGTGAAAGTGATCTTACTCATTCTTAATTTTTCTTTCCATTGGTTTGTTAGTTACAACATGTGGTTGGCAAAGCGAAGAACCTACATAAGGGTCGTCGAGCCTATGATTTATGTTTAAACTTCTCACATAACGCTATTGTTTCATTCTATAAGGCTAGTTAGCCCTCTTATAACTTTTGCAAAAACAGCTTTAGACTGGATCTTTTAGAGAAATATTCTTTAAGAAAAAGTTGAGTGTTTGGTTGAAAACTATTAGAAGTATTTTTTAATATAAGAGGTGATGTAAGAATACTAAAAATAATTTCTAATATAAACTGTGAAAGTTAAAAAGTAGTCAAAATGAATTTTGTTGGATTTCATTCATATAAAATATTATTATTTTCTAATTTATTTTAAAAATTATAAGAATGGAAAAAATTATGTTTTCCTGAAAAAGATTAAAATATATATGGTAAGCACAAATTTGTATTTTCAAAGCAACTTTCACATAAGTTTTAAATCGGAGCTTCAACTTTCGAAAGATAAAAGCACTTATAAAATTCGGCAAAACCTAGGTGTACTCTTTTGTCTATGTTTTTTTTGTTTAAGTTTATCTTGGTTCTCTTTTTTATGATTATTCGAGACTGATTGCATGTTTGAAGAGGTTCAACTTGCATTGACTGGGTACAATAAGGTTGGATACCCATGGGTTTGGGTTCAATTGTTACTCTCAACTAAAAGGAAAAGGATAAATGAAAAACCCAAAAACGAATAAAACTCACTCCCAACTTAAAACTCGTCAACACCACACCCGACACAACCTGCTAGTTATAAAAGCGGATAAAACTAGTAAACGCCAGTTTTAACAAATTTACAATTGCCAATCTGTCAATTACAAAAGTGGATAAAACTCGCTTTTGATACAAAACTCGTGAACATTGGGTTTGGTTTAAATTGTCATTCTTAACCAATAGAAAAATGATAAATAAAAAATATTAAAGTGGACAAAACTCACTCTCGATCTAAAACTCATGAACACTGTATTCAACTCGATTTGATCGAGTTTTCAAAAAATTCACACTCATGCCAACTACAAAAGAAGTTAAACATGGTCATGAAATAAATTTGATTAATACCTTACATTTGGGTTCAATTGTCTTCCTAACAACAACAACAACAACAACAACATTATTCTAAAGTCAGTTTGAAGTCGCTCTGACCGGGTCGAATTAGGTTGGAAAAGAGAAATAAAAAAATACTAAGTCGGGTAATACTCGGTTCCTATACAAAACGCATCGACATAGAGCAGATCTGGTATGTGTCTTCGGTAGTGGCCTTAGAACACGATGGAGGAGATAACTTAGTATTCCGCAGACAGAGTTTCAAGAAGAGTTGTGAATTGGTTAGCGAAGGCGAGGATTGGACAGAGCATATATGTTATGATTAATCAGTCGCAGCCGTGGTAAATTGTGGGAGGGGACAACTTAGGATTCTGTCGACGGTATTTCAAGATGGGATGCAAAATGATAAGCAAAGGCGAAAACCCTGTGGATAAAAGTTGTTATAGATATTCGGTCTAGGCCGTGGCAAACGGTGGAAGGGGACAACTTAGGATTTCACCGACAGTATTTCGAGATGAGCTGCAAAATGTTGGGCAAAGGCGATGATTTGGCCAGAAAAGTATAGACGAAAACCTAGTGGATAAAAGTTGTTATAGATATTCAGTAGCGGCCGTGGCAAACGGTGGAAGGGGACAACTTAGGATTCTGCCGACAGTATTTTGAGATGGGCTGCAAAACGGTGGGCAAAGGCGATGATTTGGCCAAAAAAGTATAGACAGAAACCGAGTGGATAATAGTTGAATCAGAGAAACCATTGAACAATAGCTTAAACTTAGTAGGCAATAATTGTTATGAGAAACACAATGGACAATAGATAAACACAAAGGCTGTAGAATGAGAGAGTGGGGTAAAAGAAAATTTTGGAACTTTCCTACTTGCAAAGAGGAGTGTGAGAGCCACTAATGAATAATAACTCAAACCTTGGCTTTTATATAACAATAATAAATTGGCCAAAAAAGTATAGACCAAAACCCAATGGATAATAGTTGAAATAGGGAAACCGTTGAACAATAGCTTAAAACTTAGTAGGCGATAATTGTTTTGAGAAACACAATGGACAATAGATAAACACAAAAGTTGTAGAATGAGAGAGTAGGGTAAAAGAAAAATTAGGAACTTCCCCACTTGCAAAGAGGAGTGTGAGAGCCACTAATGAATAGCAACTCAAATCCTGGCTTTTATATAATATATATATAATAAACTAGGGCCAGAAATTCGGTCATGATTTTTTGGTCAAATTAGAAATCGGATTGTATTAGGATCTTCATAGTTCGAATACTACTGTTAGTGAATGGTATATGATCCACGATTGAACCTCTCCCAACAACTCCAGTTATTGGGATCAACTGGTTCTTGAAATTGTATCAGAGCCTTATGTGACCGAAAGATCTTGTGTTCGAATCCCGGTGACCCCCGTTTGTGAAGCACATGATATCGTGTATTCAGACATGTGCAAACGAAAGCCCTATGAGGTGACTAGCTTTCGTTTGAGGGGGTGTGTTAATAAATGGTATATGATCCACGATTGAACCTCTCCCAACAAGTCGAATTATTGGGATCAACTTGTTCTTCACAACTACTTGTTCAATTTGACACCTATTGGAATCTGGTTTCTTATTCTTCTTCACTTTGGGAGAGCTGGTTATAACCTCGTCGTCTAAACGAAATTTTTCATTTTGATATCCATCAAGTTATGATCCTTGCTCCGGGGCAAGGGCAGAGTCAGATGATCTCGTGGGGATTCTTCTCTCTCGATATTAGAATTTTGAAACTTGTGTATAAACCTTTACGTAATTTGGGAATTACATAATAATTGAATTTTATATACAAGTATTACTGTATTAATAATAATAATATATAAAAGTCTAACATGAGAGTTATTATTAATTCACACTCCTCCAAGTGCGAGTGGGGAAGTTCCAAACCCTTCTTTTATCCCACTCTCCATTCTACAACCTTTGTGTTTAGTTATTGGTCGCTAGGTTTTCGTCTATAGCTTTTTGCACAAATCATCGCCTTTGTATTTTTTTTTTCTAGGTTTTCGTCTATGATTTTTCGCACAAATCATCGCCTTTGTGTTTAGTTATTGTTCGCTAGGTTTTATTATTGTTTGCTTTTTGCACAAATCATCGCCTTTGCCCACAATTTCATCTCGAAATACTTTCGGCGGAATCCTAAGTTGTTCCCCACCACCGTTCCCATGGCCGCTACAACGAGTTTTGTATCGGACCGAGTTTCATGCTCTTTCGTGTTTTTTCTTTCTCTTTTTCTTTTTTGTTGAGAACGATCACAATGGAACCCAATGCCGGTACGGAAAATCTATACCATATCTACTCAATGTTGGCGAGTTTTGTATCGGGATCGACCAAAGCGATTTTAACATGATTTTACAGGTTTTCGGCGGGATCGAGTTTTATCTGTTTTTGTAATTGGCGTGTTGTGTCAGGTGTGAATTTGTCCAAAACTAGGTCCAACCAGGTCAAAGAGAGTTGAACCTGGTGTTGACGAGTTTGAGTCGGTAGCGAGTTTTAGTTTTAGTATTTTTCATTTTGCTTTTTCCTTTTGTTTGAGAAAGACAATTGAACCCAAATCCATAGGTATCCAACTTAATTTGAAAATATCTAGACGGGCTGCTTCATTCTACAAAAGTTATAGCACGATCAACTACTAGCCATACAAATTGAAACATTGGCGTCATGAAAGAAGTTTGCACATAAACAATCTATTCGACAACCATTCTACCTTATGCAAGTTCATCGACCATATGCTATTGTAAATAACAAACCTATGAAAAGAACGATTAAGAATGAAATAAGATTACTTTCACTTTTGGTTCAACATTAAAACTATTACTCTTTAAAATATTTATTTTTTCTGATACGCGAAGCGATAGCGAGCCGGCTTTTGCTGGTATATATATAGGTCAGTTAACTTCTTCAATTTGTAAATTCGTATTTGAGGATTTTGTATATATTTTTTTAGGGATGGGCAACGGGAAACGGGTATTTGGGTATACTAATACTCGTCCCGTTTTTTAGTATTACGGGTACTCAAATACCCATTTTTTAAACGAGATGTGATTTGGACGATAGTGACCCAATCTGGAAAGACATTTGGAAACTTCCAACTCCTGAACGGGTGAGAGGTTTTGTGGCTGGTCTCCCTTGGACGGATTGCTACCAATTCTTTGCGTGCTACCGGTGCACCGACAGCCTAGAGACGATTCTTCACGTGTTGAGAGATTGCCATCCTGCAAGGTTTTGCTGGTCGCGCTGGGTAACAATCAACAGGTAGCAAGAGTTCTTCCACCGGGATCAGGTAAGATGGCTTTGCAGTAATCTGGGCAATGTGGACATCATGGAGGCTGGCATGAGCTGGCAAGCTTATATGGCTA